GGAATGGGTGGTTAGGGTTACAAACAAAATAGCAAAAATGGGATATGACACAGGGTGCACATACTCCAGTGGATGTCTCAGGGCACGCCAATCAAGACAAAGTACTTGTTAAACCTTTTTTTCTCTGACGTGGCAGTTTTGTAAAGAACGAATCATATTTGAATGCATTTCCTAGTCCAGCAATGCAATGTACCTTCAGTGATTTTCATCTGCTCTGCAGTAGCACGTACCACCTACAACGCAGGATCAAAACCTGACACTACTGACTGCAAAGCCTGCACTGAAGAGACTCGGTGATGGCTGAGGAAGTTACAACTAATCTTAACAGATAAATAAAGACAAGTGAAGGAGATAGGGGAAAGAGAAAAAAAACTATTTGAGAAGCTACAAATAATGTAATTTTGAGGTTTTTAAGTCTCAGCATGTTAGATCTCATATTACTACTTTAAAAATAATACATCAGTCCCTCTTAGCATCTGTTACAATGTATGATTTATTTTAGGTAAGTGAAAATGCCCAGAGATCGCTGTTGTCATTCCATGTTAACTGTTTTTTTTTTTAATTCTCGAGACTTGTGATTGAAGAATATTTTCAATCCGTAGCACCTTAAAGACAAAAATTGCTGCTTCTGGTAGGTGACTTGTTACTTTGACTAGTTAGACAGAAAACTAAGATGATATCTACTGACTAAAACCAGATACCCCTGAAAATGCAAAGAGCCTCTGTCTACACAGGTAATTAGCAAGATGGTGGTGGTAGGGAAATGGTGAAAGCCGATAAAGCGTGCCAAAGGTTTTTCCTCTTTGCTTCAATATCATATTGATTCTTGTTCTATATGGCATTATTTTTCATTAATTTGCAATCTTTCCATTGACAGGGGAAACAAGAAGAAATGTGAGTATTATATAATCTGGTATAATACAGATATTTTGAAAAATATTGAAATATTTGTTATAATTTGAAAAAAGAAACAAAATTAAATCTTACTTAATTTTTCCAGGTTCCCTTGCATAATACATTGTTGAAAGAATACGAGTGGATGGTTTCACAATTGTAATAACTGCCTCATATCTGTAAGAAACACATAGTAATAGCCTTATTTCCAGCTCACCAAATTAGGGAACTACCAAGTATTTTCCACATTTTAAAACTCACTTACTTTTTCTTCTTCTTCTTTATGTATTTATCTTGAGCAAATTCTGTTTTGTCTCGGAATGTTGTACTGTTCTCTATTAACTGTTGAACTATTTCCTTGGAAGAGACAATTTATTTTTATTATAACTGGTATTCTCATTCATTTCATATACAGTACTTTTTTAAACAAACACAGAAAATACTTTCTTCCAGTAGTGGCGTGTGTCCCATTAACTTCTACTGACACTAATGGCAAAGTAAATTTCTATTAATCAGCACAAAGAATGAGGCAATAGCCTGACTACATGCAGGAATTTAATCGTACGCTTCAGTCTCTAAGTGTTCTGTAACGACTGGAATGCCAGCCAAAGACGATAAAACTGAAAATGCTTATCCAGGAACTGGGGTGTTTTGTGGAGAAGGAGTGCGGTAGGTGCCAGAACCCACTAACTTATAACAGAGGACAGACCTCTAGGGCTGGGAGTAAAGAAAAAGGAGGATTGTTCCTTTCAGCATCAGCATAACATTACTTCAGCCCTTACTGTGAAGCCTCACTATCTACATATTCTTACTCGATGCTGAATGTGAGGACCACCCTGTTTTCTCTAAGTGATTAGTTACTTTTTAATTTAATTTATTTGGAATGAAGCAGTTAGGTTGTCCGTTTCTATGGAACAACTGACACATATTCTGTCAGTCTAACATTCCCCAGAGGACCAGGTACTCAGTCCTGCGTGAAGCTATACAGGCAAAAGTATTTTACAAAAACAAAAGAAGGAACCTGATGTCATGTGTAATATTTACTTTAATCCAACTCTGTCTTTGGGTCTTTTGTCTGACTTTAGCATCTCTGTCTCTGAGGGCATCTTTTTTCCCATCTTGTGCTGGTTCATCCCCTATACTCTGGCTATGCCCCTTATCCCACTTAATTTCTTCTGCCTTCCAAGTTGTGCTAGACTCCTGTACCAAGCAAGCCACTGCTTCTTTAAGTCCCTAAAATACTTAAAATGTACTAATATTGGTATTCTTTTTTTCCTTATTCTTGGAAAAAGTTAAATGCAGCCTGTGGGGGTTTTTTTTGTGTTTTTTTTGTTCTGCTACAATTTATAGTGGGGAAACTGATGAATATTTCTCTAAGGTAAACAAAAGCCAAAAGGAAGGAGCAGTGGGCAGTGCCCTGGGAGTACACGTCACTTCATGTCTTTGTGTTAACACCTACCCCTGGGGACCTGGGAAGGGAGGAGAAATCAAACTCCATTAACATGGAGTTGTTTTATTTCAAGTAACAATCATCTCTAAACTGAGCCTGTGTCACAAAGACAGGCCATTCGCAAACACGAGTTAAGATTTTACCAGACATCTATGGAAGAATAATATCTACTGCTGTGAATGTAATACAGTCTGAAGTGAATATTCAGCTACAGTTTAGAAACCACAGTTAAAGTAGGATATTTTAATAACATAAAATAAAAGTGCAATAGATGTATGGCAATGACATGCTGAGGACATACAGAACAGCCAGAGTGATCTTGTGTCACAGATCATCAGAAAAAATAGGAAATATCAAAGTTTTAATTGTGATTAGTACATTCTTATCAAAGAGATAACACAATGAGCAGCACGACCATGGAAACAGAAGAAATACCATTCTAAACTACTTGGACCATCCAGTATTAAACAGGCAAAAGGAGAACAGCTACTCCAAAAAGCAGCAGCAAACAGCAAGATGCAGAGGAGATGAACTTGATGTAAGCATGAGCAATTTCTTATTTTTATTAGAAGGCATAAACCAAAGCTGAGAGAGAATTTTGCCTGATAATAAATCTTTGCAGCCAGTTCTGGCCTGCATATATTAATATTTAAGATGGCCTCACTTCTTTTTGACAAAGTGCAGGGTAAAAAAAAGTCCCTTTTCTAACAGAACCGAACTGATCTCTTGAGAATATTCTTAGCTTCTGAAATGCAGATAAAACACACGCGTTTGGCAGGTACCACTAAAGGCACACTGACATATATTTGTTTCATAATGTTATTTGTTAATACTGTGGTGTTCATCCACAATCCTTTCCTACACATCTGACAGTTTAATTTTTGCATAACTTTTAACATGTCTATAACACAGAATTATTATTTTGAATCCTATAAACAAAGAAAACTAAAAGGTGATTATGCAAACTGTATTTCTTTAATGGTTACTCTCTGCTGACAAAGTTGCCAACCTTACATGAAGTTTTCTCTGAAAAGTAGCCTTTGCATTTTTGTAAAAACACATCTGTAGGAAAAACATGATTAAGCAGAAGAACAAAGAAAAACACTGAAGTCTATGCACCAGTAAAAAGAATAGTCTATTTCATAAACTAAAGTATAACCACCAAGGTAGCACAGAAATGACACCAAAACCTTATTTTTACCTGTCCTTTAATACCCTTGTCCTTCAAAGCCTTTATGTCATCATGAGTCAGTTTTTGAGACTTTCCATCGTCAACTATGTTACGATTATCTGTACCTGCTTCTTTTGTTTCTAAAGGAAAAGGATATAGATTTGTAAAATCTACCTCCAAGTATCTTTAAGTTGGAGAAACATATGATTTTATTTTCACAGAAAGCAGACTTCTCAGGATTAAACTCACATGCTTCATGGCCTTGCAAAGTACTACCTAATTAATCAATGAAATGCATTATATAAAATTAGGAGATAGATATATATATATTTGCCCAAACTAAAGTTCAGTTTTCTCCCATATTCAAAAGCATATCTGTTACAGGACCAGAAGATCAAGACAAAAACATGCACTTTTGTGACAGAAAGAACAGAAGTAACATTAAGTTAACAAATTATTAATAGAAAGTTTTTCCATCGTTTTTGGTATTATTAAAGAAACAAATGACTAGTATTTCCAAATTCCAGCCAATCCTCTGTAATACCTGTGGTAGTCTCTTCCGTCTCTTGTTTTGGCTGGAGGTTTCCTCCACTGGTTACTTCAAATGTAGTTCCATAAATATGTCCAATAGCATTATCCAGATAGAACCACTGCTTCTCAAAAATAATTTTTCTGAAATAATAAAAAAGTTTATGATATTAAAAGCATTATTTTTACTATGTCTGAAACCCACAATATTTAATATTAAACATGCCATTTTTATCTATGCCTTTAAAAAAAAAAACAGGACAAGCATAAAAAGTAAAATTAACCACAAAACCACATTAAACTGAAATTGGTTAGGAGAACAAAGAATTTAAATCAAACATAAAGTAAGAAAAATATTTTATTTTTCAGTTCAAAAGAACTCTAAAATGGCAGATAAAACAAGACTTGAATTATATAGTAGAATTTCTGTCAGAGAAAGTCAGAACAAGGCAAGGAATTATTTGAAGTATATTAAAACTAGGCTGGGTGATGCAGGTGTAGTGCAAAACGATGAGCACGAACCTCTACTTTGCAGGGTTCCTTTGAAATAACATTTGCCAAAGACTATGAAGAGATGGCAGAAAGTGTCTTGCAATCCCAGAAAAGTTTAATAAAAGTAATAAAAAAATATTTGATTGCACTGAGGGAGGTTTGCATTTTTCATTCTTCACACAGAAAAGGACCCACAAGGCCTTTAACTCTCAGGCTGAACTACAAAGGTTTCCTTGCGGAGCAGAGAAATACCAACCCTGTCACATGAACCAGGTACCAATGTATATGGCATATGAACCTCTGAATCAAAACTTACCTGTATGAGCTCTTCTAATGCTAATTATACTCATCATTCATCCTGAGGCTAAGCAAAAAGTTGAGTTCTTTGTTATGTCCAGTTTTCTACTGACTGAGGTACCCAATTTATGCATATATTTCGCACACCTATCCCCGAATACAATCCAGAATTTAAAGGGTAACAAGTTTTGTTAGGGATACTACTAAATCCTTTCAATAATTAACGTCATTAATGTCATACTTGGTCACGTAAAGTCTATTAATTGGTCACGTAAAGTCTATTAATCCCTGCCAACCTAGACTTCAAAAGACTAATAAATTACTATAGAAGACCTGAGATGACTAAAAAGAATTGAGATAGATAAAAGATTGTGTATATCCTCAAATTTCATTCTAAACAGAGTATCCAGCCACAGCTATTGCCACATGTTCTTCAAATGTCTTTACCATCATCAGATTATAGAAAAATTAATGCAAAAGGTATCTGATTTCCGGTGGCAATATTTACTCTTTTGCTTTTTTATTATTTCTTCTATGATAGAGGTTTTAAAAAAAAAAAATGAGGAGGCACCCCGTGAACAGATCTTGGCAGCGCTCTGCAGGCTGACACAGTCACTACCTCATTTTGTTGCCAGATTCTGCAGGTGAGTATTAAGCCTGTCAATAACCAGTACTCCCAGATCCCTAGGTCTGAGCTCTGCCATCTCACTCAAACGCAATACCTTTACATCTCCATCCTACTGACTCAGATGCCTGGCCACATTACTCAGTACTGACTGCTACACACCGGTCTATAAATTGTCTGCTGCAACGGGAGGAGCGCAGGCTGTGTCCCTGATTACAGTATTTCCTGCTGGGTGCAGGCGCTTCTTGCTCTGCCAGCTGGCCTAGGAAAAAGAAATAGATCTTTCATAGCATCCTCTCCAGAGAAGTAATTATCCAGAACTGACACTTAGCATCTTCCTACAGTCCATGGCTGATGTGAACACTGACGCCAATCCCGACTGACGAGGCAACACTGCACGGCACAGGAATTCAGAGAATCCTAGACTGGCCTAGGCTGGA